ACAGAACAGGACTTCCTCCCTGCATCCCAGGTTTACTCAGTGAGTACTGATGGGATAGACAGGAGGGAATGGTGTGTTTTGTCTTTCTGCTTTTTTGTTAATTTATCTTACATCCTTTCTGTGGCCATAGCTGTATATTTCTGTTGTAATTGCTTTTCCCTGTCTATCTGTCATACTGGTTGCTATTAGTGAACATAATCTATGTGCAGGCCAAAGATTAAATAAGTTCTTTCTTATCTTGCTCTAGCCAAGGATGGCTGTTTCCTTACTACCAGCCTGAGAATTTAACCTAATGCATTTCCCTCATGTCTCAATTGATGGTATTGTGATGATAAGTCAGATTTAGAGCATCCCTCACCTTTCAGCTGTCCACAGTGGTGTATTGTGTGCAGGAACCTAGCTCCTTTCAGGGTTCTGCACATAAGGATATCACATCCAAACTTTCTTCTTCCTCCTTTCTCCCTAGTTCAAACCCAAGCGTGTGGGAGCAGGATTTCCAAAGAAATCCAACTTGTTCCAGACAGCCTCAGAACTGCTGAAGATCCAGGAGGAGAGTGATGCAAAGCCTGTCAAAAAAGAAGTAGATTGTCCAAATGGGCAAGACAACAGCAGCTGCAGTCTGGAACTGGACACCAGAAACACTGTTGTCCAGAGGGAAGAAACAGCAACCCAAGCAATGTGTGAGAGTGCTGGGGTAGAAATACACCCTGAAAAGAAGGGACAGCAACCCAGTCCAGACACAAAGGCTGCACTTTGGGAGAGCCCCACTAAGAAGTCCAAACGTAGCAAGAAGCAGCAAATGCTCGCAGAAGCAGCTAAAAAAGAATCACAAGATATTTCCAAATTCTTCTCCCTCTCCAAAGGTGGCTCTAAAGCCAAAAGTTGCAGCTCAGCAAAGGAGGAGGGCTGTTCTGCAAGCACACTACCTCAGGTTTCTTCTCAAAGCACGTGTCAAGAGAAACCAACATCTCAGGAAGGCAGAGATGTCTCTGGAGTTCTGACTGGACAGTCCCAGGCAGAGAATAAAGAACTGAGAGAAACAGAAGTAACACAGACTGAGAAGGGGGAGGATTTTAAGACCCAGCAAGCTGCTGAATCTGAACTCCTTCAGGAAGAAATTGATGTAAAGTCCAGGTAAAATCCCTATCTCTCTGCTCCCTGTGTTGCCCTGTTAAGCTGCAGAGTCCCACCAGCCTTGTCCTGGAAACTGGGAATCTGTATGAGGTCTCTGGGTGGGTGAGGGAGACTCTTGCTTTACCATGGAGGGTCTCATAGCCACTAAAAATGAATGCAGGGATATTTGCTCTGTGGAATAATTACAGTTGGCCTTCTCTCCACTCTTCCCACTAGTGTTGCTGAAAATGTCTCAGAAACTGAGTTACCTGTTGTTGGGGAAGGTGAGAGTGGGAAGCGGGCAGGATCAGTTGAGGTAAGGCTTCAATGAATGCTAATTTCCTCTATTTCTGCTTATCTCATGCCAAATTTCTCTCTGAGAGTGATGCTCCTGCTCTGAACCTCACCTGAGAGTGTTATTTATCTGGGGAGGGCCCAGCTGCAGTTGCCACAGAGAGGAGAACCCCAGTTGTGTTGCAGTCCTGGTGTTTCCCTGCTGCCCACTGGGCCGTGCCAGCACCTTGGGCTGCAGTGGAGAGCTTCCCCTCCACTGCATTGTTTCCTCCTGTGTGCAACACATGTGACTGTGCCCTTGCTGGTGACTTGCCTGGAATGAGTCTCCCGACCCCCTCTAGATCTGTAATGAACTATAATTAGCAGCTGCTTTCTCAAGTTCAGGGAACAACCACAGGCCAGTGACACACGGGACCATTTGGAAGCGACCTGTACTCGCAGCCTGCCTTGCCATTCAGTCTCTGCTTCTGCATTTGGCATCTGAGACTACCTGGCAGCTGTCTCTGCAACAGTGCAGTCTTCTTTTCTTTCAAACTGAACAGGCATGCGGCACTCCTGATATGGCTGATTCTTCTTGAGGGGTGTATTCTCAGCAGAAATCCTGAAAAATCATTCCCAGTCAGTTTTTCCTTTATACAAGAGGGTCTAGCAATTAGCTGCCCTAATAAGAGCACGGGGTAATTCTAAATGTGATGTTCTTAAAGAAAAGTCTCAAAGTCCCTTTGTGAGGCAAACAGTGTATTATGTCTTCACAGCAAAATGGGTTACAGAGATTCCTACATGGTATTCACTGTAGGGAGAGTCTGCAGGATGCTGCAAAGATTTGTTGTCCTGGAAGGTAGTGGGTGCTTGGAAGTGGAATGCTGCTCCAGGAAGTGGTGGGTTTGATTCTTTTCTGTCTCCTCTCCAGGATATGGAAAGTCCCGCAACAAAGCGGCTGCGGACAGCGGCAAAACCTTCTATTCTGTCCCAGCCAGAATGCAAAAGTGCTGGTCCAACAAAGAAGAAGGTGACTTTTGATTCAAACTTAGAACGGTGTGATAAAGAAGAAACCAGCAAGACCGTACAGCCAGTGACCAAAGGGATGTCCCTCAAAGACACTGCAGACATCGTTGTCAAATATTTGACCCCGTTCTACAAGGGTGGCAAATTTGCTTCCAAGGTAGGGCACAGCTCATGACCCTCTTTAGCAGAAGACTACAGCTCATAGTGATCTGGGGCTCTAAGAAGGGGGGAGATGATCTGGATACCACATTTCATTTCCAACTTGCATCTTGGTATGTGCTGTTTCAGTGACTCCAGGTGCAGGAACTCACCTCTCCCACAAAAAGGTTTGTGTGTGTTTGGAGTGGTATCATGTTAGTTCCACACTTATTTATTGTTGTTCATGTTTTCACATTAAGCTTTGACACACTTTTAACTCCCACCTGTGGAGCAGCAACAGCTCAGGTTCAATTCTGGTGTAGTTTCCTTGATGTGTCCTGCAAGGCAGGTTGTGTGTGCCAGCACTGCAGGGTCGGGTGTGTTTGCAGGTGTGCAACACCCCTGTAGTCTCAGTCTAGGAATGGTGTGTGCTGCAGCCAGGGGCTGAGGGCAAGACAAACATGGGAACAGTCTGGTCACTGATGTCTGCTTTCTGCTCTTTGCCTTCCCTGATTCTGCAGGAGCTGTTTAAGGGCTTTGCCCGGCACCTGTCTCACTTACTGACCCAGGAGCAGAACCCTGCCCGCAAGACAGGTGAGAGCACTGAGGGCCTGGGGTTCTTTCAATGCCAAGTGGATGGATGTCTTTAGGGGTGGCAGATGTCTTAAATTTCGACTCAGAGGTGTTGTTTCCTCTCTTGCAGTGAAGGAGGAAGCACAGAGACTCATCAAGGAGTTTTTCAAAACAAGGGTCAGGTGTGAGAGTGAGGCAGACTGGCAGGAGCTGCAGAGCTGGGAGAGCTGATCTGTGCATCCTGTTGGTTGTCTTCCTTCCTCCAGCAGCATGACTAGGGGATCTTGAAGAACTCTGCCATGGAGGGTTTTGTGAGACTGCAGAAGTGAGATTTTTTTTTTTTTCTCCCACTGCATTTTTGCTCACTTCTGTCCTTAGTGACAAACAGTTCCAGGAAACCAGTTTCTGTGAACTTACAGAGAGTTTCTCCAATAACTGGGGTGCTGAAGCCCTTGAGGACCAAGAGGTGTGAAGTTGCATCTGCTGTGTTTGTTAGGGGCTGCTGCCTGAGATGTTCTGCACTGTCTCCAACCTCTGCTCCCTGCAGCAGTCTGGGAAGGGCTCAGACTTTCCAACTGGGACTCTGCTTTGGGATGGCATCTCGTTCCTAGATGGCTCCTCCCCTCACTCCCTGTCTTAGTTCTTATTTTAATGTTACCACTAGAAGCCTTATGCTACATGTTCTTATGCTTTGCTCAGGGCTGCCAATGACAAACTCCACGGTTGAGTTCCTGGATGGAATGTTTTCCTTTGAAGGGCAGGAGGGAAGTGTTTTGTTCTTACCGTGCAGGCAATGCCTACTTTCTGAGGGTGAAGAAACTGGAATTCTTTTTCTTTTAATGTGAACTTTTTTTGAACTTTGTCTAGTTTTGTCTGCCCTTTAACTTAAGTGGTGATGCTATTTCAGTGTTAACCTCAACAGCACTTTACAGCATTTTCTTGTAACCCCTAAAGCCATATTTGCCCCCTGTGCCTCACCAAAAGTCTGCAATACAGAGGGCAATGCTGCTGTTAGAACTGGTTCAGGTACTGCTGTGGCCCTCAAATTGGCACTGTGGTGTCTCTGCTGCTATGTTTATATGGGACCTAACCCGATTCCCTGGCACAAGTCCCTCCTGTTGGATTTTTATTGGGTTCTGCCTTTGTTCCATGCCCACAGAGGCTGGTGGCCTCAGGCACTACTGCTGCTGAGGGATCTGCAGCTGAGAGGCCATCGGTCAGGCTTTTGGAGCACTGTACTCCACAGATGTATTTTTTTAGATGTACTGAAGTATATGCAGAACTGACAATAAAATAATGTTATAGCTGCTGTGGCCTGTTCCTGGAAGCTTTTTCTTACCACTCACTCATACAGACTGGTGTAAGATCCATTAAGCAGCACTCGAAGGGAAGTACCTGACGGGAAAGATGCTGCAGTTCCTGCTGGAATCACCTCACCAGCAAGAATCCAGCTGTGCCTCATGGCTTGCACTGAGCACCCTCAGATCTATCCCCTTCCCTGCCAACAGTGACAGCCTTTTTTCCTCAAGCTTTGCCTGTTACTTGCAGGTCAGTTTTCCTGGATTAAGATGCAAGATCTGTCACGCCACACCTTCAAAACATATCTGTGATTACTTTATTGCAATTTCCTAAAGGGCAATAAAAATAAATTAGGCATTTTTGTACAACCCAAAACACTCTCCTATAATATAAGTGCTGTTTGAATATGCTTCCTCTGTGGGCATGGAGCCATCATTGAAGCCTGACAGCTGCATGGACATGACTGACTTCTTTATAGTAGAGGGAAGCAGATGCATATAATTATGTCAGTGAGAAATTAATTAACAATAAACTTTCGTGCCATTGCAGCTCAATCTGTGCCCCAGCATATGTGCTAATTGTATTATTAACACTGATCTGCTTTTCAATTAAGGTGCTTTCTGTAAACTCCTGCTTCACCAATCCTGTTCCAGGGCCTTATGCCTATCAATGCAGAGACAAAACTGGCCTCTGGAAAACACCAGCAGCCAGTGCAGGCATTGCATAGCCTCAGCTGGGCATTGGGATACACAAACCTCTAGCAAGCACCAGGCTTTGCTAATGTTAATTAATTCAAAAAAAAAAAGAGGACTTCCACGCTGCATTGCTTGGAGGCAAGTGCTTGCATTGGTTCAGCTGCTCTTTGTTGGAACTGTGGTGTGGAGAGGGCCTTGTGGTTTGTTTATCCACAGCATGGATTGCTTCAGGGAAGTACTTGGGTACTGAATGGCAGGTCACCAGGGGTGAGATTGTGGTACAGTCCATCAACAAACACTGTGGTGGCAGCCCTAGAAAGCAGCTGTCTCAGGTCATGGCTGTCTTTTGGAAGTGTTCTCTGCAGAAGGCAGGTCAGGGAGCACTGATCAAGTACAAAGGAAGAGAAACACAGCTGTTTTCCTTAGTCATTCTCCTCCTTTCAGGCTCTAGGAGTGGAGCTCTGTTTTGTCCAGGATGACAACAAGCGTGTGGTACAGTTCTTTAGCCTGTCAAAACACAAATCAACATCAGTCATTCTTTGCCCCAGAAACAGCTGCTGCTTATAATTAAATATTCCCATAAACCACTTTCCATAATTAAATATCAGGTATGTGCTGGAACAAAGCTGCACTTTGGAGCCTGGGAAATGCAGTGACCCCCCCTTCCTTCTGTGGAGCAGGAGAGAGCAGAAGCACTGTCTCAGCAGAGGCTCAGCTGGGCAGTGGAGGGCAATTCCTGAGTTGCCAAGAGGAAGCTGCAGGCCCAGGCTGATCTCACCTGTTTCAGTTCAATCCACATGGTCTTGGGGATGGCAGGTGATCCGTAGTTCAGCTCCAAGCCGGGAAGTCCATCTTTGGACATGGGCTTCAGGGTGCGCATCTTCTGCACCTCCTTCAGGGGAATGACCCGGGACACGGCCTGGGGAGGAGAAAAGCCACAGACCACTCTCTGGTGCAGTCCTTACAAGTTAAACCATCGGATTCTCCACGAGAAGGAGTCACCTCAAGAGCCCAGTGAAAGCTGAGCAAGGTCTGGGGCACAGGGTGGTGTGTGCAGAGCACAGGGCAGGCTCCTGCTGACAGCACAGCCCTGGAACTGCCACGGTACTGGGACAAACAGGAATGTGACACCCAGGTTTACTGTGGACTGTGCTTGTTAGCATGAACATTGGACTTGCAAAAGAGCACATGGCACTAATGACTGTTCTACCACTCTTGTCTCTTGCTTTCTTGTTAGAGTGGCTGTGATATAGAGAAGTACAGCCTCTTCCTGCACAGGTTTTTCTAAAACTCAAAGTTAATATCTGACAGACACTGGGGGGAATTGTCTGGCATACCTTGGTGATGCCATTCACCACAATGATCTCCTCTTTGTTCACACCAAAGAAACAGGGCGCAGGGATCGTCTCATCGCTGACTCTCTCCACGATGAACATGGTGTAGCCAAAGAAAGGCAGTTTCATCACATGTTCTGTAGGAAAGCAAAAGGTGGCCTGAAGGGAGCAGCTTCCAACCAGCAATCTACTACACCAGCCTAAGGTGGTCAAAACTGCCAGTGTTCCCAAGCTTTTCTACATTAAAAAGTAGAAGTGACAACTTCTCCCTCCCCACCAGGCTGCTGATACCCAAATCTCAGCAGCCTGAAAGGATGTGCCATTCTTTTCCTACCAGAAAACAGATGCACAGCCAGAGTGTCAATTAAAACACAACTTACAGAGAGCTTTGAAAATCTGCTGCAGAATTCTACAACAGGTGGAACTTCTACCCTGATCCTGTGCTTGGGAACAAGTTCCAATCCACAGTGAGAGGCTGTCAGGGAATTCTATTGCCATTGCCCATTCCAGGCTCCAAGAATCCTTGACAACCTCATGAACTGTCCCAAAAGCACGTTCAGAACAGCTTCCATCGTGCTCAGGGTGGACAATTGAAGCAGATCTGGATGTCTTCTCACCTATGAACTGGATTTTTGCATCCAATGGCTGGAGGGGCTGCCCTGTCCTCAGCAATGTGGCAACCTGGTTCTCCAGAGCCATGGAACTGATGGAGTACTGCAGGGTCTTTGGTGTGTATTTCTTCAGCTCCTCCCTGTGCCAACAAGAAGATTCTAATTCACCCCCTGTCCAGCTAAAATAGAACATCAGCTGGGGGATTAAGGGAACAAAGGGGATGAGGCAGCAATTTTCAGTTGTGTGTCTGAGGGGAAGGTGAAGGGGGAGAGGAAAAGCACAGCAGGTTGTATCTGCACTGGATCAGGTGGAAGGAAACATCAGAGACAGTGAGACCACCAATTTTCCGTAGAGAAATCATCTGTGCACTGAGCAGTGCACAGAGAAATCCCTCCTTTTTGGAGATAGCAGGAGCTCTTCAATGCCCAGCAGGATTATGCCATTTTCCCTGCTGCTGGTGCTTTAAGGGGGTCTGATGGAGACATTGACCTCAACTCTGAGACAAAGTGCAAAGAATACAGGAAGCAAAGAGTGTGAATATACACCTTGGGACTGCAGGACAGAAGCTTTCCAGTATCCAGGGACAATTTCATTCCCGTTTCATTCCAATGAGGCATCTCATTAGAGATTTCAGGTGCCCAGGGTTGAAACCTCTGGCACTTGTGAGGGGAATGAGTCTCTCTACCCCCTCCTTTGTCACCCAAAGGAGCAGTCACCCAAACTATAAGCTCATGCACTTCCTTTGGGTATTACAAACCCATGGCAGTCAAATGAAATGCCCATGGCACCCTCATGACCCTCAGCTCAGGAGGAGTGACAAAAGGAAATGTGGAGCAGAGATTGCCAGCATTAAGGGTGTGAATATGGGGTAAATTTCTTGATGGGGGCAGGAGTCAGTTGCTACATGACATTAATTAATAGCTTATGTTCTCCAGAACTGTCCATTCCTTAATTATCCAGAAGTACTTCCAGGCACCTGCTCCTAACCCCTGTAGTGCCAACATCAGAGAAGCAGAGACCCACCCTAACCCCAACATACCCAGAGGGAGCAGAGTTCTGCTGCTCTGGTTTGGCCCAGTGCTGGAGCATTGCCAAAAGGCCCACTTGCATCTCTGTTTCTTTACTCTGGGTCAGCAGGATCCTCCCATTCAGGTAATCCCACAGCACCTGAGAGACAGCACAGCAAAGAGGCCTTTGTTAAACCTGCCAGAAGGTACAGGCAGGTCTGGGCAGTGCCAGGCTGCAGAGACCCACATCCTGCCTTCCTGATGATAACACATCCCACTTGGGCCGATAACGCAAAAGCAAAGGCTGGCTGGGCTCAGGAAGAGCCTGTGGAGCTGCACAGACCGTGTGTGGAACAGCCCAGCTCCCAGGCCAGGCCCACAGGCACACTGCCTTCTGTGCATCCATAGGTTCAGTGTTCAGTCATTCCCAGAAACAGCACACAAAGCCGATCAGCCAAAGCCCTCCTGCTTTTCCAGCCCCCTTGGGACATTCCCACTGGCCTGAACACAACCTCTGTCCCTGTCAGGGAGCCCTGGGGAGGGCCCTGCTGTTCTTACCTGTCCATAGTGGACGTCTGTATAGATTTGGTTCTCGAAGTGCAGAGGTGTCCTCCAGGTGAGCCTGCGCAAAGTCACGGTGACCATCTTGTCCTCCAGCAGGTAATCGTGGAGATACTCCTCTGGTTTTATTGGCTTCACTATTTTACCTACATGTTACACAAGAGAGAGGGTCATCCATCCCTCTTGGTGCTGAGGCAGCAGGCTGAGCACCACGGCCTGGGACAGTTCCTGCACACCTCTGTTCCACCCTGCCCTTACGACTCCAAGCATCAGCCATTCCAAAGGGACACAGACCCACACACCTCTTTCAGGAACAAGCAACACAGACCCTGAGAAGGATCAATCCTTAACCCTAATACACAGGGAAACTGCTTAAGAGGAACCTCCCGTGAGCCAGGAAGGGTCAGGGAACTATTGAAAGCCAGAGCCATGGTGCTCCCTGTTGCAGGGACTGCTTTAGGAAGAAACTTGATGCTGATCTCTACTTGCCAAGATTTTTGTTGTCAGTCCTGGTAGCAAAAAGAAAAAAGTCCTCTATCTCTTCCTGTTCACCTACTCCCATCTGCTCACAGATCTCCTGCAAGAGCTCCTTGGCCACCTGAAGCAAGGAAAGAAGAAAATGAATACCATGACCAGGCAAGCCCAAAGCAGCCCCAGAGCTGGCAGACATATTACCCCTTGGCAGGTGAGGGATTTCCCTGGTGTGGCTCAGAGTCCAGACCAAAGAAGAAAGTCACAGCTGAAAACTCACCGTGAATGTCCTGATCCTGGTGAGGTATTCCATGCCTCCAGGCATCAGTATCACCAGCCGGCGGGCACCGTGCCCCTTCTGCAAGGGACAGTCTTTAGGCAGCAAGACATGCAGGATCCCACCATCCCCACAATTGTTTTTCCCTCTTCTTCCTCATCTGTGCCTTCCACTGCTTCTCCATAGCACCTGCCCCTTCCCTGCCCATATTCCTGCTCACTCCGTGGCATTGCACTTCCCAAACCCCCTTACATCCACATGATTCATTTTCTCTCATGGAGCACTAAGTGCCCCTGTCACACTCACATGGCACCTCCTGGCAACCCTCTGCCCTCCCCCTGTTCCCAGCATCCCCCCTTCCCTGCCCCTCAGTACCAGCAGTGCCTCCATCTCCACAGGGAAAGGAAGGTTTCGGCGGCCCCCGTACATGAAGTTCTTCCGCAGGTTGCTCTGGCAGATCTTGGCTATATCTGCAAGGAAGAGGGAAAAGCTCCATGTGCTGAGCCAAAGAGAGAACTGAACATTGTGTCCTGTGGTGTTGGGTCACCCTGGCTGTGTCAAATTTAACCCTTGGGCACTGCTAGGAGAGCAAAGAGACTTGACCTCAACTCCCACTCTGCCAGGACACATCTAAATCACGAGAAGCCAGGCACAGACAGCATCCAGGACAGCAGGAGAACAGAGGAGTGACAGGATGGGAAGATTAGAACTAGAATGTTTGTTTTATAGGACACAGACAGTCATACCGTGGTGGGTGCTGGATGGATCACTGCTGGCCAGCTGCAGGAACTTGGTGGCATAGGGCATCAGGGTTTTAGTAGGAAGGAAGTATCCAGTTAGCAGATTCAGGACCAGCCAGCCACGCAGCACACTCTCCCTGAGGAACAGAAGGGACTGTGGGCACCTTGGGATAAGACAATTCCTGCTCCTAGCAGCTCAAACTGAGCCTCTGCCCTTCTGAACACCTATGGCAGGCAGCAGAAAATGGGGTGGCAGCCCTTGGTCAGAGGTTTCTTATGCTGAGCAAGGGATTGATTCAGTCATTCTAAGAGCAAACAAAAGGAACAGTCAAGGCCACTCTGATGCCACTGCTGCCATTTCACAGGGCAGTGTGGGGTCAAGCCAGTCCCTGACTGTTGTATCAATTCCCCAGGGCTGTGAGGAGGAAATCAGGGCTCTGAGCAGCACCACTACCAGGAGCTACCAGGGATGTTTACCCGGGCCCAGATATATCAGCAGCCAGAAAAACAAGGACAAATGTCCACTGAAATGAAAATGTCAGACCCAGTGACTGGCTAAATTTCCTGAGTGCTCAGCAAAAGCCCCAGCATTGGAGCACTGGGGACAGCACAGCATCAGGGAACACCCTCTCCCCTGGCTCTGGTGTCCCTGAAGTAGATGGTTCCTCTCCAGCTGTGCATGCAGAGGAGCTGCCAGTTCTGGTACTCACTGGTTAGGGTTGTGGGTGACCTGTTTGATGACCTGGCAGTAGACCTCATCGTGCAAATGCTCCTTCTCCTTGCATAGCTGCATTCAGAGAGGAGAAAACAGCATCAGAGAGGGGACAAGAGCACCAGAGAGGCCCCCAGGTCACCTCTGTGCCCTTCCTCTTCCAGTGCCAGAGCTCTGCCCATTTGGCTTAAAGCTTGGGCTTTTCAGCCTCTGGTCCCCCATGCTATCTAGACCCAAAGAAGGAGAGAGGAGAGCGAGGTTGTGCTCTCATCCAGACAGTGATATCCAGGGAAACCATTTACATGCAGCCCCTCCCCTCCATGTGTTTTAATCAGCCTGTTTCGGCTCCCTTTCTCACGCAGGAGTTGCATTATGGCTCTCCCTGCTCTCTCCCTTCCCAGTGAGGCCTTGGCCCTCTGTTCCTGTCAGTGCTTCAGCACTTTGCCCGAGGGAAGGTCACAAACCTTAAGGATTTCATAGATGCATTCAGCCTTAGTCTGGTTCTTGTGCTTGGGCTGATCTCCCATGAGCCGCATCAGCGCTGCAAGGCAAAGGCTGACATTTAGGTCTAAGCAGGGGTGGTCCTGCCATGGGGCTGGCAGAGGGCTAAAAACTGTCCTGAAAACTTTCCTGCTCCAAGGTTTGCATTGGACAGGTGTAGTCTGTCCACAGCAAGGGTGTGTTCTTGGACACTTTGCACTCCAAGCAAAGTACATTTTGCTGGACGCTTTCAGCAAGGACACAGGTGGTTATTAACTGCAGAAGTGCCTTAGGAGGGGCCCCCTGACACAGGTTTCATTCCCTACTCAGCCCCACAATGCCTGTGTGTGCCCACCACAGCATCCCACTCACTCCCCCCCCCCAGCCTCTGCAGTGTTGTGTCCTAGGGAGGTACTTACTCTGGAAGTTCTTTGTAGCCAGTTCATTCAGCTCACTGTCAGAGTACCAGAGCAAAGAATCCTGGATTGGGACCTACGGGGCCAGAGTACAAGGATAAACGGGGGAGGTGGATCTCACAGAGTTGTGCTGCAGGTTTCACCAAAGACTCAAGCTCCCAGAATCTTGCAGGCAGCACTGAAAAGTAGGGGACACCTACACTTCTGCAGAGGCTGCAAGCCAAGGATCTGCCCTCTGTGCTTTTGCCATGTGGGGACAAAGCTAGAGACAGTGCTGGAGCTGGGATTCTGGCTGTATCCATGGGGAGAGAGACTGGGCTCACCTTGGTGTGCCGGACCAGGCCAGCTATACTCTTCTTTTCAGCAGACATCCCCTGCAGTCCCTGCCTAGACAGAGGAGAGGGAACATGCAGTCCAAGAAATACCCCCAGAAACAGCCTGGTGTGGGTCAGGCTATGCAGGTCCTGTGTATGCCTGTTTGGGAAGGACCACAGCCTACTCACATGGACTGAGCCTCCCGGAAATAGGCTGTGGCAAAGTCAATCATGGTATAACGATCACCAGCAGGGACTAACATGGTGCTGTCGGGTTCTGATGTCAGGCTGGGAACAGAACTCTGCAGGGACATCACCAAAAAAGTCAGCTGAGGAATTGCAGTGTGTGTTCTCACCTGCCAGACTCCATCTATGTGTGGTGCCTCCCTTCCCACTATGATAGTATTTGAGTGTCTCTGTCTCCAAGGATTAAACTATCATCATCTTCCCTCTGGCCTTGGAGGTCAGACCAGGGGTAGGGACCCACCCTGGCAGCTCTCACAGAACCCAGCCATAACCCCTAGATGTTCCCCAAGGACAGCTCACCTCCCTGCTGGTGTTTCTGCTCTCTGGGGAAGATTTCCTTCTCTTCCATAGCTCTGCATGTCTGTCCATGTTGGTGCTGAGGTAATCAGGGGCTGCAGCCAACTGCACCAGGTCAGTGGGGAAGAGACCACAGCGGCCACCAGTGCAGCCAAACTGCCAGCCTGCAGAAACAGGGGCCAGAGAGTCAGGAACCATGGCAGCTGCCAAGAGGAATGGGCACTGAAGCTTTCTACTGGCAAAGGAGATCATCAGACTCGCCAGGGCTTCCTGCATCCTAAGGTAACACATATACCCCTATAGCTAAGGCAGCTGGAACAAGGTGGGTTGCAGGCAGAGGCTCATTATGCCAGCCTGCCCTTAAGAGTCCATACTCTCTGGTTCTGGGCACTACGGATCCAGCAGGCCCTTGATCCTGCCAATCTCAGCCCCCTCACCTGGCTCCATGCCTTGCATGGGCAGCAGCTCAATGAGGTCGCCCTTCCTGAAGCTGAGGAGGCTCTTGTCGTCCACAACGTAGCTGCGCAGAGCAACGACGTAGTTGGTGTCCTGGGGGAAAACGATGGGGAGGTCAGGTCTTGTCCCAAGGATGGGAGGGACTCATGTCCTCCCTTGGATGCTCTCAGGTCCGTGTGGGAAACCGCCTTCCTTCCCTGCTGCACTACAGCTGCTCCCTCACCTGCCTCAGCTCCTGCATGAAGAGTTCCACCATGGCCTTGATGCACGGAGCCTTCAGAGAGTGCAGGAGGAGCTGCTCTGTCTTCAGAGAGAACTCCAGGGCACTGCTGCCCTTCAGCTCCACTGACAGCACATCTGCAAAGCTGAGAACACAAGTCAGTGTGCTCAGGCTCCTTCTGCCAGGGCCAGGGATGCAGAAAGTGGGGATGGGAGCTCATTCCAGGGACTGAGAATGGAGACATGCCTCAACATGTCCCAATGGTTGCCTTTCACCAGCACTGTGTTCCAACATTAATAGCACCACAGGCTGCTCATGGCTTTCACCATAGCACCCTGAGGAGCTCCTTGTGATGACACACATGGAGCTGACTCACCCCCAGCACTCGCTTGTAAGCAAAGCACAGGGTAGGAAGGAAAAGGAAAAGCCAAACTCATTAGAAGGAGGGTCAGCTGGCCTAGGACAGTCCTAGAGAGCACAGCACAACTTGGAATTTTCAGCTCAGCCATTCAGTTTGCCTCCCAACACCCTGCAAGTGCCAAACTATCACCCTGCAGCAACCAGTGCCCTTCAGCTCACCAGTAGCTGCGAAGGATCTTGAGGTGCTCAGGATTATACCCAGCTGCTTTCTGCACCTTCAGCAGCCGAATGCCCCGGTGAGAAACACCCAGGACCTGCACATCACTTCCCTCTTCACCCTGTAAGGGAAGTGCAGCAGAGAGAATCAAAGGCTGTGTCCCACCTGGACAGGTGGCAGCAGGGGAAGGAGGTGCCACACAAGGAGGCCCTGGGCTGACAGAGGTGTCAAACCCTGCAGGGTATGGAAGGCACAGAAGAAGGAGCGATGTGTGGCCAGGCAGGGAGACAGAAAGAGATCCCAGGTGAACTGGAGCCACAACTAAAGCAAGCCCAGGGTCTGGTGAGAAAATGAAGACTCACATGAACTGGGAAGAGGCGGGAGAAATAGTTGGCCCAGTTATCCCGAGCAGCCAGTACAATCCTCTTCTTTATTCCATCCTCCTTGATGGACTGGACATCATTTCCAACCCGGAACTCCGCTAGCAGGGTTACAAAGCAGATATTTGATCAGCACAGCAAAGATGGCTGAGACTCCCTCTGCCAGGGACTCATTCCCACCAGCCCCCCTCAGTGTTCACAGCACAGAAAACGACATTCAGAGGTGTGAGGACACCACATTACTTGCACACACCAGTCTACTGCTGGTTTCCCTCCCCTTCTTCATGAAGCTGCAGTCAAAGATGAGTCGGATTTTGAGACAACTCAAAATCTCATCCTTGGGTTTCACTTTCCTCTCCCCACAAAAAAACATTTCAGAACTAAGTTTTTCTGGCTCAGAGAAATGTCAGGGCCATTTTCTGGCCATTTGGAATAAACAAACATTCCTACGCTTCACAGCACACAAAAATGTGCTTTTCTGCTGCAGTGACAAATATTACTCCTCTGTCTGAGAAGTCCTGTCTGAAAGGGCTTGGAGGCCAGTTTCTCATTTCAAACCAAAGGCTGGGATGGGCACAGGGAGGAAGGGATGTTGGGGCTGTTAATTACTCAGCAGGTCTTTCATCTTGCGCTTCTCCTCCTTGGAGATCCGAAAGCAGGAGTTGGAGAAAGTGTCACAGATGATCTGCAGAGGAAGGGAACAGAGAGGCTTCCATTGCAAAGGCAACATCTGACTGTGCTGGAGCATCTGAGGCTGTTAAACAGACTGAGACTTGGAGAGGAGTGAACAGGGGCTTGACTGGATGGACCTGGAGAAGAGACTAACACTGCTTGGAACGGAGAGGTGAAGGCAACTTATGCAACATAATTAGGGAATGTTTTGTTCCCAGAGGGACAGCAGGCCTTGAGCCAAACCTGTTCACACAGGTGCATACCTGTTCACACAGCAAGTTCAGGCAATAAGGGTGGCTGAAATTTTCTTTGGGGTAAAACACCTGCAAGAGGAGGATAAAAACAAGAGTGGTGTTACAGATGCTGCAGAAATTGCTCCCCAGGGATGTTCTGCAATCCATATGCCCTGCTGCCAGAGGCGAGGACAGGCAAGGGAAGAGACACTGTGAATGTGAAAAGAAGGACCCGGAGCAGAGGACTAAAACCTGAGTGGGGAGACCAAGGGATGAACCCTGGTCAGTTCAGTGCATTTTTCAATACGCATTTGTACTATTTTAACTGGAAAACAACAGGTAACAACAAAGTTTAGTTTTGGATTTCTCAGCGCTTTAGAGAGGAGGAAAGGACAGGTAGGGAAACTGAGACACAAGTGTCAGTAAGGCAGGGCAGGACCCAGATCCCCCATGACATGATCCCCTGCCCCCACCTCCTGTGTCTGACCTCCTCACAGAACTGTCTCTGTGCTTTTATCTTACACTGGGTACCTACCAAAAACATATTCTAACCAAAGGTGTGACAAGTTCCCTCCCCCCACAGCCAGCCCTCTGTTGAACTGCAGAGCTGTTGAACTGCACCTCTTTGCGCAGGAAGATTTTCCAGGCAGGGTCTGCATAGGAGAAGCTGACGCTGGTGGTGAGCTTGTACAGCTGGGTCTTGATACCATCATCATCTGCTACTGTTACAGCAGAGTCTGTGTGAGGAGAAAGAGCAGTGAAAATGGGCCTTGAGGGCTGCAGGGTAACCTTCCCACCTGCCAAAGACCTGCTGGGAGAAAGGGGACAGTGCCTGGTGCCTGACTGAATATTACTGTCAGGGACCCTCCTGAAGGTCAGTGACCAGCTGGTGTGAGCACAGACCAGTCATTTTTAGCATTTCTGATAACATTTACACTTCCTGTATTAGCCACAAAGTTCACTGTTCATAACATAAGCACTCCAGGGATAGGGAGCACTCAGCTTCCCAGAAAAAACCGTACCCCTGTGCTTGAGGTTGAAGGCACAGGTTTCACTTTATGTTACTATAAAAAAGCTGCTGAAGGTTTCAAAGGGACATAAAAGTTCTGCCCTGAGCTTGCAGGCTGCGAGGTTCTGGTACAGGGCACCCAGTGTTAGCACTGGGTTGTCTCTCTGCAGATCTATCAAAGACAGGCTCAGTCTGAAGGCAACAGTTCAAAGTTGTTGTTTTGTGAGGTAGGAATGTCTTCATTTAAGCACTTCAAACTTTCAAAACTTCAGAGCTCTTAGAGAAGAAATGTAGTAAATTCCATAGTTCATCTGTTTCTATGTCCCTATGCAAAAACATGTAGGGATTTTTCAGGATAATCCACTTACTTCGATTTACTTTCACAGGACTTGCTGAAGAAACGTTCTTTTAAAGAGAGGGGGAGCAAAAAGGGAAATACTTTAATACCAGAGAAACTGCTGCAGGATGGAGTACTTCAGTGATGTGTTTGGCTGACTGTTCCTTGCATGTTATAAAAAGCAATGTTGACGAGAGTTTTAAACAGCTTGAAATACATTGGTACAGGTATCCAAAGTATAAAATGAATTGTGGCTCCAGGCTCCCACTGAAATTCAGAGGCAAAACTAAGACTGAATAACACTTCAAAACTCCTGCTGGGAAGCATTAGCTGTGCTTTTTTTTAAGAGGGCAACATCCAAATACTCTTCATGTGGCCAAGTCCAAGGCCTCTCAGGTTCATTCTCCCTCTGAGAAACATTCCTCATTCCTCAGCCTCTCTAAGGTCCCTCCAGAGGCTTTGTCAGATGAAACACCTGGCTTCCCATTCCTCCCCGGTCTGAAGTCCACCTGTCAATTGCTACTTTGATAAAGTAGTTATGCTTCAGGTAGGCAATTAAAAGTATTGTGGACTGGACCGTGATAAAGCCCAAAGGATCTTTCTATTTTTAGCTGTGCCAAGCTGATTCCTGGGCCAGACTGGAACTGTGACATCTCTCTGATTCCACACAGATCTGATTGCACAGTCCCCCTGGATTCACACAGCTGACTGATGACAGAACATGTGCCAAGACTCTCCAGGGCCACTGGGCTGATTCCAACCCCATCCCCTCTCTGCCCCACTACCCAATCCCACGTGGGTGAAGTCAAGACTCACCCCTCTCTGTGGATTCCTGCCTGCCTTGGTCCTCAGGCTTTAGAGGTGAAGGCAGTGGTGGGAGAGGAGGGGGAGCAGGAGGGCCCTCAGACGCTGGTGGGGTAGAATCTGGCCTGAAGACGGACAGGAGAGGCAACTGCTTCTCCTTGATAGAGCTGGAAGCTGAGCCTGGCTTGGGCTTGACAGGTGGAGGTACTTTCTTCTCTTGTGGCACAGGAGATGGCTGCAAAACAGCAAAACCATTTGACCCAGTCTGTTTCTGCATTCTTCTGCTCTGTCCTGACACTGCTGTTATAAACCATCCCTAGGGCAGCACACCATCCCTGGAATCAAGATCTATGTGAACAGGGGCATCAGGACCTTTAAATCAACACACAGTCTACAAAGAGATGAAGACCAGCCAAACCCAGAGAACCAAGTATTTGAGATTGAAGCCTCCAGTTCCCTTCCCCAGGAAGGGAGAAAAGGACGTTAACGGGCCAAGGCCTTGGTGTCAAATGTGGAGAACATGAATTGCTTGCTTCCAGATCAGCCTTAAACATAGTCCACAATAGGACTTGCTGCTCCCAAGCCTTCTCTTCAGGATCTCAGATGGTTCTTCAGGAACCCAGTTTAGGATAGGCAGCACCATGGTATGAGCTCCCAGCTATCTGTTAACCCAACAAGAAATCACCTGGCTGTGACTGCGCGACCAGGGAGCTCCCAACCTGTTGGAGCTTGGATACAGAGGCTCTCTCTGCTGAGCTCTGAAGGTGACCAGAAAGCAAAGAACTCACTGGTGGGCAAGATGAGGAGTTCATCATTCCCAGCTTGGCCAGAGCCTCATTTTTGGGGTCGTTCCTCCTTACAAACGGCTTGTTTACTCTCCTGCAAGGAAACAGGGAACAGAGTTACAGAGGCTGCAGAGGGGTTGTGGCCATGATGGAGCACATGGCAGTGCTGAGACACAGTCCCACTCATCCCCTCCCAGCCCACGTGGTGGGTCCCTCTCACCTTACGGGCTCGATGGGCTGGGGCTCAGGGGCTGGTCGGCTCTGGTACATTTTGATGATGTTGCCAATCTCGCGGCTCGGTGCAGGACGTGACTCCGGGCCTGAAGACTTCACTACAGGTGGCTCCTTCTTCACTTTTGGTGTCTGCTTTATTGGCTTTGGCTCAGGAGATGGCACAGGGGAAGCAGGAGCTATTGGGGTGACAGCTTTAACCAACAGACCAGCAAAGGCACAGGAGAAATCCCTTTGACTCTCCCTCTCTTTCACCCCAAGGCTGACTAGCCATGGCCTTCCACTGCCTTGCTTTGGGATCCCACTTCCCAAAGCTCAGAAATTCCTCTCTCTCCTGTCATGCCAAGATACAGACTCCCAGAAAAGCCAGATCCTTTCCTCTGCCTATATCCTGGCCTGATGTTCCTGGAAAGTTCCTGCTTGTCAGCCTGCCTGAGCCTCCACTGCACAGCATCTTACCTGCCTCTGGTTTGGGGACAGGCTTCACTTCTTTCCTCTGCTGTTCCTGTTTTATCTCCTCCTCCTGCTCTGGCTGGGGATTTGCTGGTGGAGTCCAGGTTTTGGTAGGAGGCCTGACTTTCTTCACTCGGATGTGTTGCTCTCCTGCATAGAAAAGGGAACTTGAACTACTTAATACCACACTCAAAATCTAGCACTGATGGCACAGTTCCCACTCTTGCCTCAGTCAGCACAAACCTGTTTCTAGAGGTGAAGGAGAGTGTGGCAGTCAAAAGCCCAAAGATTTCCAGCAAACTGTCCCCACAACACCCCACAATGTAGCCAGCTGAACAAGCACCCAAAACTCCTGTTAAACACAGTGCCAGCAGCTCCTGCTGGGCATGGCTGGTTCCAGACAGGGAGCCAAGTACACCTTGTTATGCCAAGGAGGCTGCAGAGCAAGGTGTTATCATGAGTGAAATTCCCAAAGTGGTAGATGCTCACCCATCTTCTGAAAATATTGTCTTTTCTGCTGGAAGGTTTCCCGAGGAGAGTCATCATCTCCACTGCTGGAGAACTCATCTCCCGTGTAGTCATAACCCTGCAGGCAGTGCACAACATGGTTAGTTGGCACTAACCAGCAGGAAGGAACCTCCACAGTGCCCTTCAGTTCAGAGGTGATCCTCTCTCCAAATTCTGACCTAGAACTCCCCATCTGGGAGCGTCCCAAGAAATTAGTTTTTTACACAAGCAATCATCAACCAAACCTGGAGAAGAGGGATTATGTTAGAGGACCAAAGCAGCTTGTTGGAAGATAAAGACCTCAGAGTAATTAATTTTCCTATGGAAAAACTCTGCCCAGCTGGAAATTAATTGTACAACACTGCAGCCCAACCTCCACAGAGCAAATGCCACCAAGGTTTGACCCCGTGCCTTAAAGATTCAGCAAGCAGAGTTTGAAAGGCCTCAGAATCATTGGTAAGCACAGCTCTCTGCTCTCCTCTCTGCCAAACCATGGCCACGGTGGAAGGGAAGCAAAGCAAACACCAAACAAGAAATTCGAACCAACTTCACCACCACTGTTTGTTTCTCATGCCTTAGCTGGTGGTTCTGAAGACTCTGGTGGTGTTGCAGCATCCTGGCTTGTGGGAGGCTTCTTGGGTTTTGGGGCAGTGGCTGGGGCTTGGGCTTGTGGTGGACTTGAAACTCTCGGCCTTGAATTCTCAAGAGACTTTTGCAGCTGCTGCTGCTGTTGCTGGGAAATACTCATGGCCTGAAGGGTCATCTGCTGGGCCTGGAGGAAGGAATTGCAATGTCCATGAGCTCCAGGCTGCACAAAACCACCAGCCATCAGTCAGACTGCCCCATTCTTTCACTTGGTAACCACAGAACATTTACACAGTCCATTGCAAACTTCCCATATAGTGGACAGGGAGTCTGCTCCCACCTAGCCAGGGATGCACAGCTCCTGACACCACCCCAAGATTCAGCTACCAGATAACCTGGGACCATCAGGCACTTAAGAACTTTGTACAGAAAGCAGAACACTGCAGATCTGCATCTGTAGTAAATCCCATGGGAATTACCACTGAATCTTCTCAGGGCCTGCTCTTGTCCCTGTGACTCACTCACCGATGGTGCCTCAGTGGCCCCATCCAAACAAAGGGGCAAAAAGGGAGTTCCCAGTTTTGCAGCCTTAGGTAATCCCAGCTTTACAAAGCTCGCCCCCAGCACACAGGGACAGAGTGTCACAGGGCAGGCCTGAGGCAGGAGGGGAGCAGGGCTCCCCCTCCATGGCACATACACCAGTGTGTTGTTCTGCCCCAGTTCCTGGGCCCCTCTCAGCCATTCCCTCCCACTCACCATGAGCATGGCTTGCTGTTGGATAAAGGCTTGCTGCTGTGCTGCCAACTGGTTGGGATCCACAGCTGGAACCATGGGCTGGGGCATAACCATGGCTGTGGAAGACACACACACATCTGCAAGAGCCCAAAGGGGATTTTTCTCCACAGTGTTTGAGCATCAGCCAGGAGGAGAGTGTTCACTGAGCCTCCCACCAGACGCTGAAATGCACAGGCCCCACTGACACCCCCTTTCCATCTCTTCCCTCTGTAGCTACACTGCTATTACCTGGCATAGGTGTGATCCCACCAGCCCCCTGCATCATGGGCATGGCTGCTGGCATCCCCATCATGGAAGGCATGGGCTGGTAAACTGGTGCTTGAGCCATTCCAGGGAAGCCTAGAGACAAAAGACCATGTGCACAGAGCTTTTGGGGAATCAGGCCCTGAGCAATCCCACAAAACACAGTCACCTCTGGGGCTCTCCACATGCACCAACCACAGCAGGACACACCAAAACTTAGGTGGGGAAAGAAAACCTAAGAACAATGTGTGGCCTGACAGACTTTAAACAGCAGTATCCAGACCCTGCTTCTGCAGCTTGGCTTAGGACACCACCATCCTTCATGATGAAATATATGAATAACTCCTGCCTGTGTACAATTACAGAGGAGGGTTTTTATTGAGGGATGAGCAAAGATCTCTGGGACTGGGGCTGTCACATCCATATTGGTCTCTTTGCAGCAGGTAGCAAGGGCAGGTGAACAACAAGCCCTGACCTGAATGACTTTGTGTGAAGGAGCTGTGGGGAGAAAGGAATTCCTCTTCTCTCAGCAGGCAAGTCCCATATGGGGCCACAAAACAAATCCCACTGAGGGAGAAGGCAGCAGAACAAGGGGTAGCCAGGAGGGAGTCAGCACACAGCACAGGTCTGCTGAATCATGTCCTCACCAGTGAGAACGGCCCTGGGATGCCATGGGAAGATCATCACATCCCTCACTCATCTAAGTAGCCGCACAAATGGCAAACTGACCTTAGGCCAGTGATCTGTAATATCCTTGTCATGCCCCAGAGCCTCTTCAATAGCCAAAACCAGTCCCAGTTTCAGTAATGACTGAACTGGCTGTTCTCCACCTGTCTGAAACTGCTGGGTGTGTTCCTACCCATGCAGATTTCTCAGTGCCATTAGTATACCGGTGTTTGACTCCACCCTGCTGAAAATGCCTGAGTCTTAGCTCCACAGAAATGAGGAAAAGTAAAGAAACCAAACACACAAATCAGAACCTCTGCAGGGTTCAGACTTACTAACCCAAGGAATAGCTACAGACGATGGGAAATTCTGTAAGGAAGCAATAAGAAACATTAAACCCCTCCCCTTAAAAAGGCACCAACTGTTTTGTGAAAGCACAAGGTGAATAGAAGGTGAATACACGACTCACAAGCGTTTGCCTGGGGAAGAGGTGGCCTGGGTCAGAAACAAGCTACCTACTGCCTTGACCCCCAGACCAATTTGAGAGAGAAATTAAAAGCAGAACAAAGGTGGTTCCCTTGTCTAACACCTTCCCCAAAGCATCTGGCTCCCAGCACCTGCAAGTGAGGAGTACAACTTCTGATGACCTGTACTACAGACCAGTGCTCTTTATGAACCAGCTGGGTTCATGCAGTAATTAGCATTTAAGGGGCTCTCTGACTTGTCCTCACTGAGGCTCCTGTAGCCCCACAGGTGTTCCCAGCTGTCCCCATCCCCTTACAGACCTGTAGAAGGAAAGACTCCTCTCCTTGTGGGTCCAATCTTCCCACCTCCTTTCATGCGTCCAGTGAGACTGTCCCTGTTCTCCAAATCCTGCATCAAGGAATAACAGAGTTATCTGATCTCAGAGAGGGAGAGACATCCAGAGGCAAGTCTGAGCTGAGCAGAGGAAGTGAATAGGCAGAGAAATGCTTGAGGGAGTCACAGGGACAGGAGAGCTGCAGAGGGAAAGTGGGAATGGACATCAGGGGACTTACTGATAGTCTGGAGCCCTGATGCAGCACAGGGGTGAAGAGATCATCCACATAGTGATCCAGGCCTACGGGGGTCCTCAGGTCATCTCTAATGCTTGGATCTAGGAGCAGAGAGCAGTCTGGTGAACAAGGCAGGTAAGGAACATTCCCCTGCCTCCAGTCCCTGTTAGACGGTCACGTTTTGGAGAGTAGCCCTTCCCTGCTCTACATCAACAAGAATCACCTGACTCCCCCCCTGCTTTGATTCCCTTG